CTTTCCATTTTAACATACTGAACTTAAAAAAATACACACACACACAAACATTCTCCAGAAATTATTTTTCTGAGTCCAGAGAGAAATCTGGCTGGTGGGCCTTTACAAGAGATAATAAAAATATAATAGTGATTTCAGTAGTATTTAAAAAATACAAAGGTATGTTCATGTACACATAGCCTTTCCTGATCATCAATGAAGCCTATCGTCTGGCTACCAATGAAATATTAAAGGGAAATGCTAACCTGCAGTCCTGTGAAGAAAATTCTACATTGAGCTTTATCTATTAGAGCATCTCAGCTGTCCTGATGACTGACTGACTTCTCACTCAGTTGGAAAAACATTCATATCATTTATACATTTGTCTGAATAAGAGTATCACATTATTCAAATAATCCCATAGTATTTCTATTTCTAAAGCTAACTGCTTGTTTAACGAAGTTTCTTGTTAAAAAGATATTTTAAAATGAAAAACCAACTCCGTGTCATCCCCCAGAGACCTGTTATCATAATTTCTGCCTTGCAACTTTCCTAAAATATATTCACACAAATGTTCACTTGGCACATCATATCTATAGCTCTTGGGAGCTATATTCTATATTCTATATAGAATATAGATATAGAATATACTATATTCTAGTAAGAATGTCATGAATTTTCATTTCCCAAAAGCATTATCAGGTCAAAACACTTCCATAGGCTGACTAAAATAATAAACATAAACCTTGTTTAGTTTTGAGAATACATGAACAGAAGCACAATGTTCTAACATTGTCTCCTGTATACATTATTTAGAGTCCCATATTACAAGGTCCAATACAAGGCTTATTTTTCAGTTTTCACTTTATGTTCCTTTCCTAACATTATAGTTGCTTCCCATATTCATTTACTCAAAAATTATTTATTGAATCTGTGAAATACCAGGCACTGCAAATACAAAAAGGAGAATAAGAAATTGTCATTGTTCTCAAGGAGCTCACAGTTTAGGAGATAAAGAGACAATCAAATCAACAATTAATTGCAAACAACTGTAATACATATTACACTAAAAATGAAAACAAAAAGATTTAACTGAGAACAGGGAATGTTTAAATAGGCTTTGCATACAGGATTACTGATGTGTTATCCTCTTAGTTTTAGTCACAATTTTTAATTAAAGTAACGTTTGTTTTTGTGTTCAGCACTAAGTTAGAGAAAAATTAATGTCAAGGTCTCTAACAGGGCATGTGTTTTTCTAGGACACTTTTCTTTCAAAAGAACTGTTATAAAATGCAATCTAATTTTACGGTGAAGGCACAGGCTTAATTCTGATAAAGAAATTTAACATTGCCTTTCCTCACAGAGCTGACTGCTTTGCAGAGTCAACCATCTCTCACATGGGCTTAGTCTGCAACTTTTCTCACCACTGTCTACCACCAACAGGAGAATATTTGTGGTGACGGAACTGTACTATATCGTGACTATGGTGGTGCATTCAGGAATCTACAAATGATAAAATGTATAAAAATAAATACACCAACAAGTAAAACTGTAAAATCTGAATAAGACAGGTAGATAGTACCAAGGTCATTATCCTAGTTGTGGTACCATACTATAGTTCTGTAAAATGTTACCTTTGGCAGAAACAAGGTAAAGGCTACCTTGGATCTCTGTACTATTTCTTACAACTGCATGTGAATCTATAATTATCTCAAAATATAAAGTTTAACATTTAAAAAGTTTAAATGTTTTTTCAAAGTTTACCAGTTAGGAGATGAGAGAATTAAGGTAAGGGAGAGGGACATTCCACAAAAAATTAAAAATATGAATAATATTTTGTCTAAGCCCAGGTCTTTCAAATTATAGTCTCTGGACCACTGCATAAAAATACCTGGGGCCGAATCCTGAGCCCGAATCAAGATTTACTGAGTCATTAACCAAAAGACACAGTTGTTTACTTTTTTCAGTCAGATCTCTGAGGATGGAGGCCAAAATTTGCCATTTTATCAAGCTCCTTGGTGGTTCTTATGTTTACTGTGATAAGGTGTGGGATACATGAATTGTAACGTAAAAGACCAGAAAGAAAAACTGAAATAAAGATGGCTCCAATGACACCTAACATCAGACTAAATATTTCCAGTGATTTAAAAAAAAAAGCTTTGAAGAACTAATTGTTCAAATTGTAAGGGATAGAAAATTCTTGCTTATCATAAATCAAAATTTGCTACCTGTAAATTTCTCCTTTAAAACTCAATTCCAAACTCAGCAGCAATACATAATAAAATTTAGCCCTTTTTTAAACAGAAAGATCATCAAATACCATCAAATATTTGAAGACACCACCATGTCCCTCTTAGTCTTATACTTCTAAATAAACAACTCTGGTTTTTTCAACCCTACGTCATTTTTTGAGACCCTTTACCATCCTATTCACCCTCTTGCCCAGCCCCGTTTTTTCTTAAAAGCTTAAATCTGTTGATATTTCACACTTAACATTCCATACTTTGTGTCATTCACAATTTCTAGGTTGTCTATATATACTCTAAAGTCTTTGATTAAATGTTAAATATAAAAGGACTGGATTGAAGGTGCTCTGAAAAGTTTACAGACTTTTCAGGAAAAAAAGCTGACTTAGAGGTCAACATCAAGTAATTAACCACCAATGTGGGGGGTACGACCATTTATCCAGCTATAAAATACAGAATGACATAAACAAGATAAAAGAGAATTTAAGGCCAGATTTCCTAAAATTAATTTCTATCAAGGCAATTTGCAATTCAATAAATCTGAGGACAACATCAACTTGCTCTCATTTTGGCTTGTAGAAATCACAAAATGGGTAAAGGTGGATTTTAGTGAAAGGGAAGGTAGTTAGTAAACAAAAAGGGAATTAAATGCATGAAATTATGATTAAACTTTTATAAAGTTTTGATACTTAGTTTTTTTTTTAAGATTTTTCTCTGGCATAAGGAATAAAATCAAGAGACTATTTTATTTGGTATTTTTCCTTTCAACTAGTCTTAAAATCGGGCAATATTTTTATATTTTCCTGCTGTCAAACCCTTTTTTCAAACAAAATCTTATATGAAATCCTAATACATTAAATAAATAAAAGTGAAATTGCTCTAACTAAAATTAGGGTGAGAGAATCTGACCTCCAAAACTGCATTATCCTTCTACATCTTGCAAAGAAACCCTCAGGTTCAATGAACTATGGTTTGAAAGCCACAGTTCTAAGATAAGGTACATGTTCCAATATCCGATAACGTACTTCCTATACGGGTAAAGAAAATGTTTGCTTTGTTTTGTGCTATTAAAGATAGTATTTTTTAGATGATATTGGTACATATATTTTATTTTGCTAATTTTGTCACATTTTCTCCATGTTTTTATAAGACAGAAAAGTAAGTTACATTGGTTACCATTTTAACTCCAATGGATCATTCCAGTGGATCTCTGAGTCCTCAGTAGCCCATGATATCCTTTTACACAAGTAACTTTACACCTCTGCACTCTTTATAATTTCCCATTCATCAATTTTAGCCTGAAGAGAATTGTATTAAGAAGGATTAAGGGCTCAATATGAAAGAATGTCAAGATCAATGGATGTAAAACTAAGGAGTTGGGGGTCATGTATTTGCCATTGTTGGTCTAGGGCAGTGTTTTTCAAACCCTTGACTATGACCCATAATATTAAACCATCTAAAACCATTACCAAAACTGAAAGAAAGGCTTCACAAAATAATATTCACCAAAACTATTTTTACTTATTTATTTCTTAGAGACAGGGTCTCCCTCTGTCACCCAGGCTGGAGTGCAGTGGCATTATCATAGCTCACTGCAACCTTGAACTCCTAGGCTCAAATGATCTTCCCATCTTAACCTCCAGAATAGCTGGGATTTCAGGTGTGCACCATGCCCAGCTACCCAAAATATTTTCTATTTTATTTTATTCTAATTTATTTTTTAAGGCTAGCTATGATTGACTTAAATAGCAGTAATGACTGATAAATCATAATTTACAACCCACTGATCTTGACCTGAACAACAAAAAACACTAGATGGATCAGGAGTCACAGACTTTTTCCATAAAAATCTTGATAGTACATATTTTAGGCTTTGTAGGCCACATATGGTCTCTGTTGTAACCACACAACTCTGTTGCAGTAGGGTGGAAGCAGCCATAGACAGTATGTAAACACAACCGTAGCTGTGTTCCAATAAAGGTACATTTACAAAAGCAGGCAGTGAGCTGGATTTGGCATGTGGCCATAGTTTGATGACCTGTGGTCTATACTACAGTATACTGACCTACCGCAAAATGAGCAGTTAAAGTGGTAGTATCTCCATATTACTGATGAAATACCTAGAATACTAAAAGGTTTAAGTGATGTACCCAACTACTGAGCAGGAGACAATATACTGACTGCATCATAATATAATGCTTCTCCCCCTCTATACTACTCCACACATGAGAGATGCATTGTTAGTGAGTTTTAGCATAATTGCTATGAGTTTTAGCAATACTGAACACAACACATTATACAAATCCATACTGTACTCACCTTTATTCATTCACTCATTCATTCAATCAACCAACAGTATACCTATTGTATAAACTACAAGGAGAATTTATATAATTAACTCTTAATTATACCAGAGAGGATATATCATAGCTTAAAAATAAAAGACAATGATTGTGAAAAAAATAGTAGTAAAACTATTAAAAATCTGAAAAAATTTACATTTTAAAAAGCAATCATTTCTGAACTCCGCAGCAAACAATAACAATACATCATCACCTCTCTTCCAAAGAAGGAATAATCTCTCAACCCAATATCAAGTTTAATGCTCCTAAACTACTGTCTTTATGCTAAAGTTACTACTGGATAATATAATAGCTTAGGACCTTATGAACCATGTTATTATTCTGCTTTAATTTTGATTTGGAGTTATATCTAATTTTCTTTGACTCCAATCTCCAAATTATTGAAAAGGTGGCTGCATGAAGAAAAACTTACCTTTCAGATTGAAGCTTAGTGGTTTTTACTATTAAATCTTGAGTCTGTTCCTTTGCTGCCTAAAATTATAAACATATCTAATATAAGTACATTCCAATTTTATTTTATTTCAGAAAACAAAACTACCACTTACTGAAATTTAGACTTAAAACAAATGAGATCACTCTACAGAACTCAAAAGAAAAGCACAACAAAATGAAATAGGTAGATGTTTCAAGCCTCATCCACTGGAGGAACACACTCAAGAGTTCTTAATATACACATAATGCTAAGGCTTACAAGAAAGAAAAAGGTATCCAGATGCTGACTAAAGAACTTAATAGTTCATGATGCTTTTCAGTGCAACGGAAGCACTGGAAGAACAAGTTAAGAATGAAGAACATGACTTCAGGTAGGGACATGTTGAACTGAGATACCATGCAACCTCTACATGGGGTTGTTAACTAAGTCACTGAAAAGGAAGTGTGGAGCTCAACAACAGAAAAGTGTAAGACGGAGGTAAAAATTTGAAAGTTGTAATATACAAACTACCTGCCATATAAGTTTTTGGTGAGGATCAGAGGTAGCCCCATCTAAAGGACATAAGGCTATTCCTAACCAACTTTCATTCTAAGCAATTCTCTCTTCCCTAAGCCAGAGTTGAAAGGATCAAGAGTGAAAAGTCAATTAAGAAAGTATTTTATCCAAAGATTAGAACACATTCACGAAGTGGCTTTAAACAAAAGACAGTAAGATTCTCTCTCAAAGATCTGAACTGGGGAATATTACAAAACTAAGGCAATAAACAACAAGAAGAGAAGCAAGTAGTCATGAGGCATGTACAGAAATAGGTCCATGCCTTGAAGAAAAATTAAATGAGCCAGAAAGATGCATAAATTACGTCATTAGTAAAGTAGAGAAAAACACATAAAATAGAAGGTGAGTCAGTCTGTTAAAGAGAAAATACCAGAGCAAACACCTGAAGACACTGGGTCATTTTCATGTTAGAACACCACAATAAAGAGTCAAGCTTCTGTTGCTAAGGTTTCTTTCTTTCTTTCTTTTTTTTTTTTTTTTGAGACAGAGTCTCGCTCTGTCGCCCAGGCTGGATGGAGTGCA